TTTAAGCCACCAGGTCCGGGACTCAAACCGTGGTCGACTACATGGGAGTCTAGCAACATAGCCATTACGCAAACTGCTGGTCTTGACAATGGGCCAACTTTTTAATATGGAATTCCCCATCAAAAAAAAAAAAAAAAAACCCAGGTCAGACCTATGCTATGGTCTGTGGAAGAGAGCTGGATGCTATATGGCCAACTGTATAGTCTGAATTTTAATGCTGGTGGCTTGAAAAACACCAAGCTCATGTGCATGCATGCCCCAAATTCTGACAGAGTGAAGAAATAGAGAAGAGACTGCAGCATAATCACACCCCCTTGGGGAATGTCCCCCCTTTTTGGTAAGTACATGTGCCCACAGGCAAAAAAATTAAAAAAAAAAAATTCCCAGCTATTGTACCTATTTAAAATATTTAGGAAGGTTGGTCCTGTGGCCTAGTGGTTTAATCGAGCTGGATTCTACATGGTCAACCATGTGGTTCTGAGTTCTGAACCCGATAGTCTGAAAAATAAATCAGGCATGTTTATGTGTATGCTCCAAATCCTGACAAGGTGGAAAAATGGAACAGAAGGTATTGCAGCATGCCCATGCCCCACCAAGGGTTGCTTTCTCCCTTTCCCTCTCTGTGCATATCTCTTCTTTTTCTGGCCAGTGCATGTACCCTTTGGCAATCAATCAATCAATCAATAAGAACATTTGTGAAAAATCTTCCTTTGCTTTTCATTATATAACCTTAAAACCAATCATGTATTATAATAGAAGAAAACATATACTGGATTAAGGATGCTCACCAACCTAACTTAATAAGAGGTCAAAATATAATGTGAAAAGGTATCTTTTGTACATAAGTCATTTGAAATACTTTCACTTAGAAATACTTTCTGCACATTACAGATTTCTGTTCTGATGAGTCTAAAATGTATTTTAGTTTAGTCAAGGAGATGAGTAACAGCAACTGCAAGACACACACACTTAGCATCTCCTATATGCCATATACACGTCATTTTGCTTCTCGAAGCTTTGTGAAGATAGTTCCTAGATGTTGAGTCATTCTGAGTAAAACTTCAGATTCTAGTATTTAGAACTAGTATTTTTAAATTAATGAGCTTAAAAGTTCTATGCTTTATTTAAAATTAAGCTTTAAGAAGTATTTTTAAACTTTCTTTAGCTCTGTATTTTGTAATGCATATAAAGATTATCAGTAATGATGATGACAAGATTTTGCTAGTTAATGTATTATGTATGAAATATCCTACTAAATCAGTGTTTAAATTTATTTTTCATTCACACATTCTCTTTATTTGATCCATCTGTCCCTGTCGAAAACTGTGCCTACTTGGCTCTTCTTGATCCTATCCCCATGGCTTATTCTAGCTCTGTATTTCATCTTTGATTCCCTTCTTCTCTGGTAATCTCCCTATTCAGACTCCTTTTACTTTCTAGCTAGATCATACTTATGTATTATTCTTTTTTCTTTCCGTAATAAAGAGCCTGAAAAAGGAGAATACCTAAATTGGGGGCAGAATGTGGCATAGTGGTTAAAACACTGGACTTACCCCCATGGCCAACCATGGTTATAGTCTTGGACCGGGAGGCTTTACTCATGCCAGACACGTATGTGTGTGTGCCCTCCCAAGGAGGAGAATGGAGGAGAGATTGCTGCATGGCCACCCCAGGAGGTGATTTCTCAATCTCTCCCTTACTGTCTTTCTCCAGTGAGCACACATACCTATGGCAAAAACCTTTAAAAAAAAAAAATCTAAATTAAAATCCTGGCTTTTAAAATGCAGGTCAAGTCACACAACCCTTCTGGGCTAAAGGGACTCATCCATTACAGATAAGGTTAAGTAACCTGCCCAACTCAATGCCCCCCACTGGTATAATTCAAAGACTTTGTTTGAGCCCTACTGATCTTTTCATACTGGTGCAAATTAGTCAGATACAGTAAAAATCAAAAACAGAAGCTACCGGTTAACCAAAGTCTCTTTTACCAAAGTGTTCATAAAATAACCCTTTAAAATAAACTGAAGAATCCTGCATTTTTGCAAAACAAAAACAGGGAAAAAAATACTTAAAGCAAACTACAAATTAATATTAAAATTAATGTAAAACTTCATTACAAAGGTATCTCAATCTTCTTGGGCTTCACAAAAATTCCACTAAAATGTAAACAAATATATTCTATACATCTAAATAGTGTTTTTTTCTACTTCTACCTATAAACATGAGTTGAAAAGTGGCCATCTGTAATAAAATCCAAATTCTACTACAGAATGTACATAATTTTATAGTTTGTATTATCATTACAAACTTCACACTGTCAGTTTACTTGATTTTCAATTATGTCACCAGTAGTATTTTTCTATTTTTCAAGGACTAAGGAAACAAGACTAGTGATCACATAGCTTTGTTTGGTCCAAGGGACAATAGCAAGGAAACCCATGAGAAACTACATTTAAACAGAAGGGGTATTCACAAAGTTTGTGGGAGATCCATGTTAAGAAGATTCATGTTATGAAGAACAAAATTTTGCACTCAGATAAATGTGTACTTTAATTCAATTTTCCCATGAACTTTTTAAAGTCTCCCATATTACTTTGATAACTGAGTAAAAATGCAGAACTACTATGCACCTAAATGCTTTAAAAATCTCATTTCCAATGATAACTACTGTACAATTAATCCATAAAAGCCTTTTATAGGAATTCTTTTTGCCTAGGAAAACTTCTAACCTGAATTAATCTAGTATAAGTACAGTAAAGTTCCACGATTGGCTCCACAGTCTTCCTGATGCTTCCAGATTCACTTCCAATTTGAAAACTGTCAAAATAGCAAAGTAGGTATGGCCAGCATATATGTAATTAAAAAAAAAAAAGAATTTAAAGAGCATCCTCATGAGAAACTAGGAAAAAGAAATGTGATGCAGATACTGTCCCGAACACTGAATGTAAAAAGACCACTTACTTCATGTGCTAACATTTTATACAGTTCTTCTCTGGTCACAGAAATCCTTTCTCTGTCTGTACTGTCCACAACAACTATTACGAACTAAAATAATTATCAAAAAAAGGGGAAACATTAGTAATTATATAATTTGATATCAGTAAAATTTATAAAGTACTTACTTGGTTCACATGCTATTAATATCAAGAAATTAGAATATTATCCTATTGTTAGAAAACCAGAGATCTACTATACATTGTGAAGACTAAAGATCAAAACTGTTGCTTATTCAAATATGTCCACTTATTCTTAAAATAAGGGATAAGAGTATATGATGCTAACAATCTAACAAGTATAAAACCTGTTTGTTTTCTAATTAGTATCTTAAATGCTAATAGGCCTATATCCATCTATTTGCACTATAAAATGAGTAAGAAAAAATATGCTATGGTCCCAAATTTAACTCAGACAGATATTTATTAATAAACCTAAAAGGGGAGTGTGAGTTCCTTAAAAAGCCAACAAGTTACAGTAAATCTGTATCTAAGAACAAGCTCTCCGTTTACATAAATGGCACTTGCTACCTTTGAGCATAACTCTTCTGAACAGATGATGGGAACAACACCAAAAGATGTGATGAAAGACCTGCCAAAGCTCTTTGTGGGACTGAGTTCCACCGCACCTCTCCCAAAACTCCATGAGTGTTAAAAACCAAGAGAAACAGGAGCGCATGTAGAGTTAACTCACTTTATGATGGCATTCACGATGCTCAAGTTTTTCTGACTCCCTATTACTAACAGGCATTCTTTATTTTTTAGAATCAGATCTTGATTTCAAGTAAACCTCTGTGATTTTCAGGGTATTTTTCTTCATATTTTTTGAATTTTGCCATATATATGTTATATACTCAAAGAGAGGGAGAGAGACAAAACACTCACTAAAGGGGTGTGGTCACACCACAATCCCTTCTTCATCACTTTCCATGTGTGTGGGGCATGCACACACACCTGCCTGGAGTGTTTCTCAAGCTGCTGGGGCCAGGATTCAAAACAAGTGGTAGGCCATGTGGGATCCAGCTCCCTGATAGCCACCAGGCAACGGGGCTTGCCCCAGGGTCTTTTTCATTCTTCATATTTCATCAACCATAAAAGGTGGATAAGAGAATTGCAACTTTACCTCTTTTTCTCACTTGATACATTACTGAAAGACCTGTTCTATTCCAATCAATTTTAACAAAGCTATTAATTTTCAAGGTGTTGCCATAATTTTGATACTTGAAGCACTTTAACTATATACGTATATAAAACATAGATGCTTATTATTTGCATAAATATTTCTTTATCTTAGGGGTACCATATATACCTTTGTAACTTAACCATATACTTAGTCACTGGAAAAGCCATGACATGTTTTTGCATAGCAAAACAGAACAAATACATCATGACCTTTCCAAGAACCTAATATAGCTTCCCTTGATGACTTAAAAGTCAGCTTTATGTACGTTCAGAATATACTTCGTAAAAAATGTTTTATAGGGACCAGTTGTTAGCATAATGGCTATGTCGCTGAACTCCCATGTAGTCGACTGGTTCGAGTTCCAGACCTGGTGGACTAAACTCACGCGTCGCGCATGTGCGTGCATGCCCAAAGATCCCGAGAGGAGAATGGAGGAGAAAGGATTGTGGTGTGGCCATCCCCCCCCCACCCCGAGGGCAATTTCTCGCTTTTTATGTCTCTGTCTCTCTGACAAGCGCACATGCTCTAGAGTAAAAAAAACCTCTCCGGAAAAAAAAAAGAAGAAAAAAATGTTTTATAATCAAATGAAAAAAAATTATTTAACATGCAATGGTGTTGCATAAAATAACAGTAAAACTTTGGCTAGCATTCAAACCATCAGAGCCCTCTCATTTAACTAGAATTTTCTCTACTTAGCCAAGCATAAATAGTAACAGAAATGAAATTACAAATGGTGAGATGGGAATCATCAGGAAAACTACTTAAGACAAGTTCTAAGTACAATCAGACTAATCAACCACCAATTCTCCCTACTGAGGTTCAATGACAGCAGATATGCAAAACAAATGATCCTAGCAGGAAATGAAAGAGTCCACTATGCTTAAACTATAAATAGTCACAAAATGTGGTATTTTAAAAAGATTATCTGTGAGGATTCAAGTGTAGGTGTTCCCTAAGCATTCTATACACAGAAATTTTAGAATATTGAGAAACATACCTCTGTGTTAGTATAGTAAGTGTTCCAGGAAGAACGAAGAGATTCTTGGCCACCAATATCCCACATTAGGAAACGTGTATTATTAACTACTATCTCTTCTACATTACTTCCTATTGTAGGGGATGTATGTACAACTTCATTCATAGAACTGGGGGAAAAAGTTCATACATATTACAATTGGCAAAGAAAGGTTGTTTGAATATTTTTTCAAGAGACAAATCAACAAGATTTCCTTTTATATTCTATAACCAAACATCCATTGAACTAACTCATAACATCAGCGACTTAAGCATTTAAGCAGAACTGAAATAAGGTAATCTGGAATATTCTAGGTCATTCCATGAAACCATATAAGTATTTTTCTACTCTAAAGGAAAGAGCTTTAGTACAAAACAACTGAACATGTTCACTGCTCTCTGTCAGGAGTTCCAGATCTCTACAAACAATTGTTTAATGCTTTCATTGATCAAAGTATTACCCAGGCAGAAAATGTAATTAGGAACAATTAAGTTTAAGGAACTTAATACTTACAATTGGTAAAGGATGGTAGTTTTCCCTGCATTATCCAGCCCAACAATGATAACTTTGTGCTCTGAAATAAAGAAAATGCCAGTGATTTCTTCATTATAAACAGGAAGAAAAAATCTCTTATTTCACTCTTCTATCTATTATATAATTCATTGTGTGGCATTTTAATACTTCCTTGGCTCTCAAAAGAATATCTTACCAAAACTAGCAGAAGTATGCAATCAGGGGGACCGGCAGATGGTGTCATGGTTACATCGCTGGACTTGCTGGACTCCCACACAGTCAACCACAGTTAGAGTCCCAAACCTGGTGGCTTAAAACTCATATCAGGCTCGTGTGTGTGCATGCCCAAGATCCCAAGAGAAGAGTGGAAAAGGGACTGCAGCATGGCCATCCCCCTGGGGGGATCTCTCCGGCAAGCGCATGTACCCTATAACAAAAATCTTCCTAAAAAAAAAAGGAAGTAGTATGCCATCAGACAGACAGACTTACCTTCCCTTCTCTTCTCTCCTCATTCCACACAGAAAAGTCATCCTTTCAACCTCCTCCTAGGAAGCCAGCACTATATTCTTTCTATTACTATGAACCCTTACTCTAAGTAAAGCATCCCAGGACCCAGCAAAGAAAAAAACATACCAACGCATGTGTATGGGTGGCCAAAATCCTGAGAGGAGAGTGGTGAAGGGACTGCAGTGTGGCCATCCACTGGGGGGTGATTTCTCACTTTCCCCTGACTGTCTCTCTCTGGTAAGTACAGGCACCCTATGGCAAATATCTAAAACTCAAAAAACAAACTACTACTACTACTATTTCTCAGGGCTGAGTAACAATGAAAATATAACACAGCAGGGGCCAGTATATGGCATGAAAGTTAAGGTCCTATACTCCCACATGGCCAACCAGGGTTTGAGTCCTGGACCCAGTGGCTTGAAAATCATGCTAGATGCATGTGCATGGATACCCCAAATTCCAGGAGAATGGAGGAGAAGGGACTGCAGCATGGCCATCCCCAGTGGAGAGTGATTTTTCCCTTTCCCTCTCTATCACTAGTGAGCACACGCAACCTATGGGAAAGAAATCTTTAAAAAGAAAAAAAAAAAAAAATCACACACCAGCACATTCCACCAAGAAAGACAGTGCCTAACCTGTGTTCCCAAATCTCTTCTAAACTCCAGTCTACCTTAGTGGACTGACACAGCACCACTAAATGTATACAAAATCCAATATTCAAGCCTGTTTCCATTTAAATCTTACTTAATTTGCTTAATGGTAATATCATTCATTCAGATGTCCTGAATGTTTATTAAATTTTTGCCTCAAACTCAATATCTAATCTGTCATCAAGTTCTGTGTATTCCACCTCAAAAATGTATCCTGAACCTGCCTCCTCCCCACTGTACTAGTTGAAGCCTTCTTCATTCTCCTATTTTAAGACCTTCAGTAAGTGGCAAATCTCTAAACCACCTTTTCTGTTAGAAAAGGTAAGAGAGTAATTTTCTGCAATAGAGCTGATAATGCCAAATTGTTACTTGAATTACAGCTCTCCATTTTGAAAGGAAAACAATACTAGTCCTCAGCCTTGCAAATTAAGTCAGTTGTAACCAACTAGGCTTCAGCTGGTCTCTCACTACACCTTTATCTAAATTGAAGTTCAAGCCTCTGTCCCTACAGAAAGCTGCACATATGTTCACAGCAAACACTTCTCTACCTCTACTCATGGTTTCTCCTTATGCTGGAATTATCTTGTCACTCTCCATTTAAAGAATTATTCTTTTTAAAAATTTTAATTATTATTATTATTTGCTATAGGACACATGTGTTCACCAGAGAGAGACACACAGAGAGAGGAAGAGGGAGAGGGAGAGGGAGAGAGAGAGAGAGAAAGCTACCAGGTCCAGGCTCAAACCACAGCTGGTCTTGTGGGAGTCCAGCACCTTAACCACATGCCACCTGCTGGCCCACCCCACTAATCTTTTAAGGTCTAGTTTTCTATGAAGAATCATTTTCTCCGTTTTTTTTTTTTCCACACTACTTCTAACAGCACTTTTCATAATTATTTATCAGGGCCAGCAGGTAGTGTGTTGGTTAAGGTACTGAACTCCACATGAACAACCAAGGTTTGAGTCTTGGACCTGGTGGCTTAAAAATCATGTCGGGCGTCATATGTGTGTGTGTCCAAAATATCAAGAGAAAAATGGAGGTGAAGGGGTTGTGGAATGGCCATCCCCAAAAGTTTGGGGGTTGATCTCTCACTGCCCCTCTCTGCGAGCACAACGTGCCCTGTGGTTAAAAACATTAATTATTTACCAGTGTACTAATCTCAGTTTATTATGTCACCCTTCAACTATTTAATACATAGAGCACATAGTAATCATCTTCATACTTCTAGTGACTACAACTCTTCCAGGCACAAGGTAGGTAGATATTCAGTAAATGAATAAATAAATAATAAATGTTGAGGATTAAAACTTCAGAGTAAGGAGATGTTTATGATACAAATGGTAGGTGTCTTAGAAATAATTGCTGCGTTTGGCTCTATGAGTAGCACCATGGTGGTTGGCAAGAATAAGCGCTTTACGAAAGGCGGCAAAAAGGGAGCCAAGAAGAAAGTTGATCCATTTTCTAAAAAAGATTGGTATGATGTGAAAGCATCTGCTATGTTCAACATAAGAAATTTTGGGAAAACACTAGTTACCAGGACTCAAGGAAACAAAATTGCGTCTGATGGCCTTAAGGGCCATGTGTTTGAAGTAAGCCTTGTAGATCTGCAAAACGATGAAGTTGCATTTAGGAAATTCAAGCTAATTACTAAGGATGTTCAAGGCAAAAACTGCCTGACTAACATCCATGGCATGGATCTCACCCATGATAAAATGTGTTCTATGGTCAAAAAATGGTAGACCATGATTGAAGCTCATGTCGATGTCAAGACTACCGATGGTTATTTGCTTCGTCTCTTCTGTGTTGAGTTTACTTAAAAAACACAACAATCAGATACAGAAGACCTCTTACGCCCAGCATCAGCAGGTCCACCAAATCTGGAAGAAGATGATGGAAATCATGACCCGGGAGGTGCAGACAAATGACTTGAAATAAATAAACTAATAAACTAATAATAAACTAATGCCAGACAGCACTGGAAAAGACAGAAAAGGATCGCCAATCCATCTACCCTCTCCATGATGTCTTCGTCAGAAAAGTAAAAATGCTGAAGAAGCCCAAGTTTGAATTGGGAAAACTCATGGAGCTTCATGGTGAAGGTTGGAGAACTGGAAAAGCTACTGGAGATGAGATGGGTGCCAAAGTTGAACAAGCTGATGGATATGAACCACCAGTTCAAGAACCTGTTTGAAGTTCAGACTTTTAATAATGACAAATAAAAAGTTCTATTGTGACAGTTTCCATCTAAGCATTCTTTTTAAATAACCTGGTGAATCAGATATTCTGATTTGATAATGAAATTTTTTGACCTGTATGAGTTTTATTAGTTGAAAAGGGGGGAGAAAAAAGAAAAAGAAATAATTGCTATTAATATAAGAGGGGAGTTCCTAATGTTATATATGTGCCTCTTATTATACAATCCATTTTTATCCAGTCACCTATTTCTTAAAAAAAAAAAAAAAAGGTCTCAGAAGAACTTGACCATCTTCCTCATACAGGTTCTCAAGAATCATTTTAAAGATGTAGAGATTGATATAGTTAATCTTCAGTTATGATTAGGGTGAAGAAACTGAGAAAATCCAAAATATCGGGTCATCAGAAAAGTCATGACATGTTTTTTTATGCAAAACTGTGTCATGACTTTTCCAATAACCCAATGCAAAGGTGATATCTGCTGAAAACAAAGAGTTAAAAATATGTAGAGAGCATGCTAAGACAAACTCAACTGAATCACCACCGAAAGGCCTCATCAGGTGACATTGTTCTGGTGAATTTTTCCTACTGTATGGCCCTTAGTTTCTCAGATCCACAAACTCAATCTTGCTACTATCACAAAACAGATAGAACTCAGCTAAAACAAACTCACAGAATTGACTAATACGTAAATAAGAATGCCCAATGAGTAATATACAACAAGACCAAAGGTTTAACACTGCCTGATGGTTGGCTCCATAGGGCAAAGGCAATGTGCTGGAAGCCAGAACTCACATGGTAACCCTAGTTCCAATCCCTGGCCCAGTAAGCCTGAAACATACCAAGAAAACACTCCAATGCCCAAGATTCTACAGGATTAAAGACTGGAGGAAGGGGATCATGGAATGACCAGACACTGTGGAAGTGCTACTCTCTTTCATTCACTTACTCTCAAGTGCATCTGCACACATTCTATCATAAATAAAGAAAAAATATTTGGGCCAGCCAATGACATGGTGGTTAAGGCGGATACCTCCCACATGGCCGACTGTATGGTTCAAGTCCTGGATCCAGTGCTTGAGAAACATACCAGGTTTGGAACCAGCAGTTAGTGTAATGGCTATGTCCCTGGACTCCCACGTAGTCAACCGCGGTTCGCATCCCGGACCTGGTGGCTTAAAACTCACGCCAGGCGCGTGTGCATGTGTTCCCAAGATCCCGAGAGGAGAATGGAGGAGAAGGGATTGCGGCGTGACCATCCCCCCGGGGGGGGGGATTTCTCGCTTTCTGTCTCTATGTCTCTCTCTCGGTCTGGCGAGTGCACGCACCCTATAGCGAAAACCTCCCCCCCAAAAAAGAGAAAGAAACATACCAGGTCCATGTGTATGCCTGCCCCAAATCTCAAAATGAGAAATGAAACTGAGGCATGAACATCCCCCATGACAGGTGCTTTCTCACTCTACCAGCCCCTACCCCATGAGCACATGCATCCTCTAGCAAACTGGAAAAAAAAAAAGAAAAAGAATTTTTAAATTGTCTCACAAATATACTCTCTACCTGAGGAAAAGTAAACAGTATTACTGAATAAACATCAGAAGATGACTTGGGGATCATAGACTCCCAACAAAGGAAGTGCTACAGGCTATGATGAACAACGAATCCATCTTTAAGGTAAAGCCACACATGCACTAGAGTAGGGTCAGACCACTG